CTTAAAGAACCTTGTTTAAATGTTTCAGAAGCTGAGCATCTATGGAGATTTGGAATACATGAATGAGCAGAAACTCAACAGATACCCACCCTCTGCACTTGTTGTGGTTAGATGCAAGACTGAGGAACATGAAGAAGCAGGACCTCTTCCTACAAAAGTCAATCTGGATCAATCTGCAATTTAAATCCGTTGGATCCCATAGACTAATTCTAACAGAGCTAGAAACTCCTGATTGATTGTGGTGGTTCTTCAGATGAGAAGCTTAGCAGCCAGTCTTTAAATGCAAATAAAGTTGCAAAATCAACAAATGTCATGGGATTCTGCTTTCAGCTAGTAGAGAAGATTCAGACATTCAGACATGAATTTGTTTGTTTCCAGGTATCATCACTTTTCACTGGTGTTTGCTATTGTGTCTTTTTGCTTACAGAAGTTGTAAGCGTGCTTTCCATACTTCTGCCAGGACACTTTCAAACTTACTTGTGTGTTCTAGGATGTAATGTGTACAGTCAGAGTTAGCTTTGTAAAGGTATAAGACATTTTAAGTAGGCAGGACATGCCTTTCTAGTGTTGCACTTTCTGTTGTAGTTAAGAGAAAATATTATAAAATTATCTGCTGAATTTTTTTGTACTTGTTAATGTCCATGCACAAACAACCCTGTCTTCAAAAATAGAAATATATTTTTTCTACAGTGTGGTAATATTCAAGGTGGAAAGCATTTGTGAGGTACTGTAAGCTAGAACTCAGCTTGTGAAAGATGAAAATGTGTTAAAATTTACAGACATATCCCTTCACATGCAGAACATTACATGGTCAGTTATTTTGTCAAACTTTAGCCTTTAAGTCTTAAATTGCTTGTAAAGTTAGCACCTGTGTTTTCTGAAAACTTCTACTTTCTGTTCTTGATTAACTATTCTGGTCTTGTAACTTCATTTACAGAAACAAGTTGATTCCTGAGAAATGAGAGCAGACAAATAAAATTGACTGTATAGAAAATTTTGACTATATAGCTTTTTGCTATGGTTAATTATTGACCACAGCAGGCTCAGTGTGAGCCTGTCTGTAGCCTTCCTCTCATGGGCAACGTGACCTGATTTTGCTGTGATTCACTAACACAGCAACAATGAACAATGTCCCTCATGTCTAACCTATTTTTTGTGGATCTTATTATATGCTGGTTCCCACAGTGTTGGCAGGTTGGGGGTGTTGGTGATTTATTTTAGGGTGTCTGAGTGAATGCTGGCTAGAATGCAGAGTCTTCAATTCACTGTCATTTTTTTGTTGATTAGACAGAATTCCCTCAAAGGTTTAAAAAAATGTAATGAAGAACTGTGGAGATTCTGGGGGATACAGTGATATATTCCCCCATTTAAACCTGGCCCTTAAATCGTTCTCAACTTGTCTGTGAGCAGGTGCTTGTGTGAGTGCAGCCGATGGAGCCTTTCAGGGGCCATCAGGCAGGAATGTGCAGAGCCCAGCCCCGTTTCAGATCATTGAGGATGTTTGTTTTCAGCAGGTTTCTATCAGCCTGCAGGAGCTGCAATCTCAGCTCTTAAATTCCAGGTACCTCTTGATGCTGAGCTCTTCAGTGGGACAGCCCAGAGCTTTGGGTGCCAGCAGCCTTGCCCCCTGTGTCGGTGTCACTGCAGGGGCCTTGCAGTGAGAGGGGACAGGGTGGTGTTTGGGGACACTGCAGGCACAGGAGCTGCCTGTGTCAGTGATGCTGCAGCCGCGTTTCTGCTGGTGCAGGCAGAGCCCAGCACAGCCCCGCTCTGCTGGGGATCCAGAGCTCAGTGTGATCTGTGCAACCCTGCTCAGCAACCGCTGCCACTGCTGCCTTTACTTCAGGGATTAGTGCCCATCTTAGCACTGTGCTGGTTGGGGTTTCCCCAAGAGACTGCAGCAATCCCCGTTCTCCTAACTGAATAGCTTATGGAAATGTTTGCAAGTCTGTTTAAATGTTTTCCTTTACCATTACACGTGGTTGCAGAGGGAGCAGCTCTGTGCACACGTGGCTCTTTGCCTGTTCCAGCGTGGACAGTAAAACCTCTGTTAGGCTGATGACTTGATTTCACAAAACTTTCTCTTCAAAACTCCATTGCTTACAGCCCTGGGCTCGAGTTAAGCAAACAACTTGTGCTTTCATTGGGTGTTTTGTCTTTTGTTTGCTGTTTAATGGCATTTCAGCTGAGTGATCTGTGCAGTGCAGCCAGTGATTCAGCAATGTGCTCTTGGGTCACAGAGAGCTCTGTGCCTGTGGCACTCTGGCACTTGGGACTGCTGTATCCAGAGCCAGCTAGAGCCTGAGGAATTTGGTGAGTGTTGTACTTGTAAACTTGTCAAAAGATCTTCCCTCAGTAAAATCAGATAATAGCAAGTAATTGAACTGTTTCTCAAGATTTCTAATCTAAATCGACTCTTTAAGCTGCCTTGGCATTTGGCTTTGCAAAATGTCATTTCCTATTCATTTTTTGTTAAATGTTTGACTTACTGACATCTCCATTTTCAGAGGCTGCAATTTGGGTTTGATCTCTGCTCAAAACCACTGTTTAAATGAAGGGCCTTAAATTACTGAAATTGCAGGAGGAAAGCATTTTATATTCTCTTCAGGCACGTGTTCAACTGAACCTGTATCAGGTTTAGAATGGAATCATCTGGACACAAATGAGGTGACCCTCTTAAGTGTGTGCAATTCACTGCTGGCAGAAATAGCCCAGGTACATTTGGGGGAAACTGGGGGGTTTTTAGGTGCTAGAATTAACAATAACCTTCTATCACACTGGATACACTGATACTTGTTGCCTCTTCAGCTTTTCTGATCTTTGTCAATTTTTTAAAATTATTTATTATACTTCAGAAGAGCTTCCTTATCTTTCTTACATCGCTGTCATGAACTCATTTTTCTGAACTCTAAGCAGCCTTTGATGTGGGGTAACTGCTCTGAAATCCAACTGCCTGGTTGGCTACAGCTGAGCTTGATAATCCTGGAGCAGGAAACAGATGGTGCTAGATGTCAGGTTGTAGAATCATCAAATTTTTTAGCTTGGAAAAGACCTCCAAGAACGAGTCCAACCATTTCCCCAGTACTGCCAATGCCACCAGTAACCCATGTCCCCAAGTGCCACATGCACGTGGCTTTAGGGGTAGCTACTCCACCACTGCCCTGGGCAGCCTGATCCAATGCCTGACAATTCTACAATTCTTCCAGTGAATATTTTTTTTTTCTGCTATCCAATCTAAGCCTCCTCTGGTGCAATTTGAGGCTGTTTCCTCTTGTCCTGTTGCTTGTTAATTGGGAGGAGAAGAGCCTGACCCCCCCTGGCTCCAACCTCTTTTCAGGGAGTTACAGAGGGTGAGAAGCTCCCTCCTGAGCCTCCTTTTCTCCAGGCTGAGGCCCCCACCCCAGCTCCCTCAGGTGTTTCTCATCACTCTTGTGCTCCAGAGCCTTCCCCAGCTCTGTTGTCCTTCTCTGCACATCTCTTACAGACATTTGTCCCCAAGGGTGGGTTGACTCCACATTTTAAACTCTTCACTGTAGATTGTTTTGCAGGGTATGCACAGCTGGCCTGCTTTACCTGGCTCTTACACAGGGTTCTTAGCAAATTCCCAACCACTAATAAGCTTTAGGAAGGCTCAAAATAGTCCTGTATCAAGTCTGATTAGAAACTGAGACTTCCTCTTTAAAGAGCAAGAGATCCAGAATTTAAGATCTGCTTAGTCTGACGTTTTTCCACATTGCAGCAGCTGCCCAGACTTGCAGACTGTTTGCTACTTGGCATTGGATGTTTTCACCCAAGATCCTTCTTGAAACAGGAGAGTTTTCTACCACCACCCTTAGTAGTGATGTATTCCTGTGAAAAGCTTCTGTTTTGGACAAATGGGTGCTGCTGTACTGAAGGAGGAGCTCCTACAAGGCTGTGTTTAATTCTGGCTGGTCTGTGAGGACAGGGCTGGCCATGAGGCCATTAACTCAATATAATTGGGGTGGGTTAGGTGTGGGGGTGGAGAGGGAAGTTGGAGCTGTGGTTGTCCCTCCATGTCAGGCATTATGTGGTGCTTTGAGTCAGCCCAAGGCAATGCCAGCTCAGAGACAATCTGGCTGCCAGCCTCTCTTCCACAGCCCTGGTGAGACTGTCCTGCTTGGGGAGGAGTCATGGCCTGTGGGGTGGCAGCAATTTGGAAGCACTTGAGTCCTGTGGACCCTCTTCCTTTATGAGGAACCCAGGCTCCTCAAAAACTTTATGATTTTTCTCCTCACTACTCTCACGGAAAAGCTGCCTGCTCATGAGATTTCATCCTTGAAGCTGTAAAACTCCTCTCTGTGGGAGCTGTGCCGAGACCTGCAGCCAGTTTAGAAGGTTCCAATGTATTTGTAAGTTCATGTTTGCTGCAGGCTGAGCTGCTAAGCCTTCCTGCGGGTCTGGAAATTCAAGCACTCAAGTATAAAAGGACCCTGGAGGATTTCCTGTGCCTGTGCTCATTGCCCAAGCAAGGAAGCTGTTCCAGATGGTTGTACCCTGCACAGCTCTCCTGAGATCTCATCATCTGGCAGGAGCCTGGGCTGGTGCTGCCACAAGGGCAGTGGGACAGCTCTGTCTTGGGAAGGAGGTGTGGAGACAGGAGGCTTTCATGAAGATGAGACTTTCAAGTTCTCACTGTGAAGGGGTTTTCCATGACCAGCACAGGGACAAATGCAGACAGCATGAGCTAGAGGTGAGTGCTTGTCTCCCAACCTGGCAGCAGGGCTTCAGGTCCCTAAATCTCTGTTTACTCTGAGCTGTCTAATGCCCTGTTGCGAAACCATGTTTGAGACATAAGAATGAGAGAGTTTGTTGTTGGCTTCCACTGGAGGCTGGAGCAGAGGCTCAGCACTGCCCTGCCAGTCCCTCCTGCCTGTGAGGTGCTCTCCTTGCTCTCCTGCCTCTGTTGGGTTTGTATCCTGGTAACTTCACTTGTGCTCAGGTGCAGAGAACTCCCTGCAGTCCCTGGAGCTCTGGGAAGCATGAATAAAACTCATCCCCAGGTACAATTCTTCAGAAAAATCCTACATACAGCTGTTACCTGAAGTGCACGTGTTCTTGCCTGTGCTGTCTGCCTGACCTCTTTATCACTGCTTTCTCTGAGATTTTGAGCTGTTTCTCTGAGATTTTGAGCTGTTTCTACTTACCTTGATACAAAAGAAAAGAGTTGATATAAAGTGCTGAGCTTGGTTGGTGTTTGTTTTACAAATGGTTAATTAAGGTTTAAAAAGGGATATGATTGATTGTTTTGGGAATTAAAGGTGGGTCATGTTTGCACCGAGGCAATTTTGCTTGTATGTAACAATAATGTACATGAGGTATTGCTGGGTAAGATGTGAGAACTAGAAAAGTAAAGTTTGTGTGGCTGTGGGATTCTGTAAATGCCTTTTATCCCTTTCCTTCCAGATAAACGGTGATGTAGCTACTTTTGGTTCAACAGAGTCCTTCTCTGGAAAAAGAGGTAATGAATAAAATGCAGAGTTATATTATTAAAGTATAAATCAATGGAAACTATCAATATAATATAAAATACAACCACTATTTATGGTGTGTTTGGACTGACTTTCCCTCTTTTCTGTGTTGGGAAATGTCCAGACTATAAAATTAATAAACTCCAGCTGTTCTGTGTTGGCCTGGAGCTGGCAGTCATATGTACAGTTGTATGATAGGTGATCCTTTTCTGTCACAGAAAGGCTCACAATGAGCTTGCTGTGGCCTTTCCCTATATCTTAATAGCCAAACTTCAGCAAATTTTGTCCATACTCTGAAGGATGAGGTGGGATCAAAGAGAACCAAATAGCATGCCTGTCGTTCAGCTTGCAACATTTTATCACCACTATTATTTTCTACTCAAGTCTGTTTGTTGTGCTTTGTAGTCAGAGGTGTTTTGTGGACACAGACATGCTGTAATTCACCATTTCTCTTCTGAGCTGAAATCTTCTGTGTTTGGCTCCCGCTTGAGCATGACAGAGGGGGAGCTTGCTGGAATCAGGATCCTTTTGCTGTCCCTCCCCTTGAGTTTGAACACTAAAACAACTAAGTAAACACAAAGCACAACTAAGACAGATTAAAAGTTCTTTAAGTTCCTGAAAGCTTTTAAAATTCTAATTAAAGATTTTTAAGTTCAGATATACCAAAATCAATTATACAGGCAGGATTGCCTTAAGGGGCTGGTTACTTGTTTCTGAGATGACCACACTGATATTTTTTTCTATTGGTCTGGGAATATGAAGGAATGGAGGGAAATACCCTGTTTGTTTAGAGGCAGAGCTGCAGGTGCAGGTTGCTGAGGTGAGGGTGGGTGCCTGGCATGGCTTTCCCTGTGCTGCCATTGTCTTGCAGTGATTGAGGGTTTGGCCTTTAGCTTCTGCAGTTGGTTTGATTTATGACCCTGACTTTCTGATAGCTGGAGTCCCTGGAAGGTTGCTGTGCCCTGGAGATGTTGTTAGGGAGGGAAAGGGCAGCTCTTCAGCTCCTTCTCACCATTCTGTGCTGATAGTCCAGCCTCATTCCATGGAAGTGGGAGTCCTGGCTGGGGCAGAAAGCCTGAAGTGCTGTCAAATGAAATCTTACCTCGTGGGGAGTTTTGTGATGGGCTCTGGGAGGGCACCTTCCCAGCCTGACACCAGCCTGCCCTGTGTTTCAGTGTCACTGCTGTCCCACAGGGGTTTGGCCTTCATCCCCCTGCATCTGAGCCCACAGGAGAGCTCCAAGGAGACGTGGGGCTTGTGCCATTCCACCCCAGTGCTCTGTAGCAGCAGCACAAGTTCTTCCACACTGCAAGCAGCAAAATTCCCCTTGAGGAGGTGTTGAATGGTGGAGTTTGGCTCTTTAAACTCAACTATCAACCCCTAACCCCCAGCAGCCCCCATGCAGAGACCCCAAAACGCCAGCCTCGTGTCCCTGCACTGTTCCCTTCTGAAACACCCCAGACCCTTCCTCACTCCCTCACTGTCTCTCTTGCCTCCCCCAGGCTGCTGCCATCCCTGTGGTGCCCGTCCTGGCTGCACACAGAGGCCCCTCTGCATCTCTGCCCTGGCGCTGCTCGTCCTCGCAGCCGCCGTGGCCTCGGCGGTGGCAGCCCTGGCACTCCTGCCACGGGCACCAGGTTGTGTCCCCAGAGGGGTTGTTTTGTTGGTAAGGGAGGCAGAAATGGTGCTGCATGAGCACAACTGTACCAGCTTTGCTCAGCCCAAATGGCCACCAGGCATTCCCTGCTCCACAGGGCTGGGATAACTCTGGGTAGCACTGTCATACTTAAGACTACTGGTGTGGTTTTCAGATTCTGTCATGGACCTACCAGAAATTAATCCTGGCCCCTGGTTATTTCCAGAACAAAAAATTAATTTCAGAAACTCCCCTTTACTCCCCTTGATCTATTCCTCATATCACAAAAATGCTGGAAAATAAAGGTTTCCTTGCTTTTCTCACAGAGAACCGCCTCTGCACAGCCCCTAATAACAGGACAGGCTTCTTGTGTGACGACAGAGTGACTTGTGTCCCAGCCAGCTGGGTCTGTGACAGAGTCAGCAACTGCAGGAACGGAGAGGATGAGCAGGAGCAGCTCTGTGGTGAGGGTTTTGTTGTGAGCATCCCCCCTGCACTGGTCTTCCAGTTGTGAGACAGCAGCCAGGGTCCCTCTAACCCTGCTCTGTGCTTCTGGCTGCCTACAGGAGGAGATGGGCCTGGTAGAGCCTTTGTGGGGCAGATGCTGAGAGATGGCACTGCCCAAAACCTGGCAGGAATGCCAGGAATTAAAGACTCCAAGCTCATCTGATCTTCCTAGGATTTTTTTTTAACCATGTTGTTGCTTTCCTCCATCAGTGAAGCTGTATGCCTACATGGGTAATTTATTGTTCAGTCACCCTGGGGAAAAAACTAAATAAAGCAGAAACCTGGGGCAGACTTCCTGTGTCCCACCACAGAGCTTCCCCATTTGTTCATGCTTGTTTGATACTGCAGGGGAAGTGTCCTGGCAGCAGCCTTTGGTGCCTGCCATCCCTGTTTTAGCCAGTGTGTCTAGCATGTCCTCTGTGTGTGCCCCTGCAGGTGACTTGCCCCACAGCCTCCCAGGGTACCTGGTTTTCTACTGCAGCAACCCCAGATCCTGGGTTTATGCTGACCAGAGGTGTAATGGGATGAATGACTGTGGGGACTGCTCTGACGAGTCCTGGAGCTGTAAGTCTGTCTGTCTGTCTGCTGGCGCCTGTCTTTCTGCTGATGGATTGCAATAGCTTCCACAGGTGTGGTGCTTGTGGATGCTGCTGGAAATGCCTGCAGGCTGGCACCCACCACTGAAACACAAAATAGCTGGGGTGAGATGTGAGGGTGAGCCATGCAGGCTCAGTCCCCCTGGCTGCTGAGGCTTCTGTGTCAAGGCCTGGTGGCACCTGAGAGAGGAAAGGATCTATGCTTTGCTCCCAGTCCCAAAAATTGCTCTTCCACTGTGGCTTGCTGATGTGGAGCAGTTTCATCAGCATGTGTGGCTGTTAGTAGTTACCATTCAAACTGGCTTTTGGTAGCTGGTCAGCAGATGGGTGGATCTCCAAGCTGTGCAGGAGCTGAGTCTTGCTAAAACGAGCAGCAGATTTGTTCCTAAGTCACCTCCATGGTTTTGGACAAAAAAAAAAAAAGGGGGGGGGGGGAAATTACAGTTAGTCGTTCTCCTCAGGATGGCCTCTCTGCCATGAAGGTCACTGCAATGTCACACCCTGGTTGTGACAGCACCAAGCCAGTGTCCGCTTTGGCGGGCTCACAGTCACAGGGTTGTCACCAGCAGCTTTTCTGCAGGGGGGATGAAAGGATTTTACCCATGGAAGGGAGGAGGGAGGGGGTCAGTGCAGCAGAAGCATTTCAGTTCCCTCTTTTCTGTCCTTTCAGCGGCTGCCTGTCCCCCGTGTGGGCAGGAGTGGTGGAGCTGCAGCCCCGTGCACTTCGAGTTCTGCTCCTGCATCCCCCGGAGGCTGTGCCGGGATGGCATCCAGCACTGCCTGGGCTGGTCCGACGAGTTCCTCTGCCCAGCCTGAATCCTGGTGCCCATCCCTGCTGGGGACAGCAGGGTGCTTCCCACACCTCACCCTGGAGCCTCGGCTCCTGCCCTGCCGCCTGCTTGGGAAGCTCCGGCCCGAGCAAATCCCCCTCACAGCACAGTGACAGCGACAAATCCCCCTCACAGCGCAGTGACAGCGAGCAGGGCCTGTGGCAGCCCTCGGCTGGACGCTGGCTGTGGGACAGATGCCAGGAGGCTGAGCCATGTCAAGGTGACATTTCCTTCATGGGCAGCACTGACTCGATGCTGGGCTGGAGAGGCTTCACCAGCCATGGCTGGCACAGCCCTGGGTCAGGGCTTCCTCCTCTCTGGACAGCCCGGGGCCTCAGCAGGCCGCCACACTGAGAGCAGCAGGAGCTGAGTGAGGTGAGGTGAACACACCTTCACAGTCCTGATCTTCACTGCTTCTTCTGTTTGTGTTCAGAACTCATCTGCAGGTGCTTTCAGCAGTGACTTTGAGGGCTCTGTGCTGATGCTCCTGGGACGCTTCCTTGGGAATGCTGTGCTGGGATGACACTGTGGGGAGCTGCTGCTCAGGCCACCTCCTGCTCTCTTCTCAAACCATAAAGGCCAACACAGAGAGTGAAATTGCATGGAAAACTGGAGAAGTTTTAAGGTTTGGGGGGGATAAATCATGTCCCTGTGACAGAGTAGCTGTCCCTGACAGCCAGGGCAGGGAACCAGCATAAATAAATAACTGCTCTTCACTGAGGGCTGTGCAGTTTTGCAGCAGCAGCAGGCTGAGAACAGCCATGGAGCTGGGATGGGTCTCACTGAGGCTGGCAAAGAAAGGAGGAAAAGGAAGTCTCAGCCTTGGAGCAGAGAGCAGCAGAAAATCGAGTGCTGCTCCCAGGGTGGTGTGGGATGACACTGGATCTGTTTGCTGCTTGTTTTGTTCCTCTGCCAGCAGGGCAGCCAAGCCTTCCAAGCAGTCCTCAGGATATAGGTGTGGACACGACACTGAGCTTTAAGAAAGATGAGGTTTTCTCTGCTCCTCTGAAAATCTCATCTGTGTCTAAAATATCGAGGAAAACCCCACATTTACAGTGAGTACTCTTACTTTTCTAGGCCCGAAAAACCCCATGAGGTGATCTTCCCACTGCCACCTCAGGTCATAGATATTTAAAAATAAACCCCTGTTCCCTCATTTCTTCTCAGTCCTGTGATCTGCAGCTCTGCCTGTCACTGTAATTCAGATCAATGGTGAATGTTGCTTCTAATTTGTCACTGGGATACAGCTGGAAATCTGAGAGATCTTTTTATAAACATCTTTACAGTATTGTGACTCACACTCTGCCTGGAATGAGATGGCAAAACTCTGCATGGGGGAATGTTAAAGCTGCTTTTACTCACCTGTCTCTCTCCAGGCCTGGCCAGGGTGCACAACTTGTTTTCTCTGTGCCTGTAAAATGTCATCCCAGTGCAGTAAGGATTGAACTAATCAGCTGTTAAAAAAATATATAGGAAGCCTCATGCACAGGGCCCAGGTAATGGGTTTGGTAAAATTAGGATTGGTAAAAAAATGTGCATCTCTCCATGGTCAGATCAGCGTATCAGTGGTGGAAGGGGTGGCCAAAAATTCCATGGTGGCAATTGCACCAGAGACAGCTTGAGGGGGAAGATTGCACATCTTCCTCCCCACTGAGCCACTGTTTTGAATCACAATTTGTGCCATAATTTGTCTCAGCAGAGAGCTGATGTAGTTGTCAGGGGAAGGTATTAATAGCCTTGAGTTTCTGGGAAAAGAAATTAGGATTTGAATGCAAGTATGCCTGTTTTGTTTGTGTGTAGTCCTTTTTTGAGAAAAAATTCAACAGTAAGGAAAAGACAAAGGGGTTTTGTTCTTTATGCATTTCTGAGCTGAAGTTCATTTTCTTGGCCTCTTCATGGTTTCCAAGGATGTGCTGCTTTTTCTTGGTGATGAATTATGGTAGACAACAGTGTAAAAGGAAGAAGCACTAGCAGGGGAAACCTGGAGAAAATCCTTGGCCTCACGAGGCCTAAGAGGACAATGATGAGCACTGTGCTCCTCAGCCAGTTGTGATGGAAACACTCAGGGCAGGAATTCAGTGTTTAACAGTTACCTGCAGCATTATAGCTGCACAGACCAACACAGAACAGGTCTGAGTGTCCAGGTGATTTACAGCTGATCTGCATAATTAATATTTGAATTATAAATGCCCCTCAGTGTTGTCAGATGGAGAAGCACAGTTAGTGTATTGCAGGCACACTGAAAATGGGCTTTAAATCACAGGATGATCTCAAATGCAGTGAATTTTCTTGTCAGAGAGAACAAATTACAACTCCAGAGCATAATCTCTACAGTAGCCTCATTCCAGCTCTCATTTCCTGGGCTAAAATGAGAAAGAAAAGGGACTTGTGTTCCACTTTGTGCTTCTGCAATGGCTGTTGCTGAGGTGTTACTGCCTCTGCCTCCCTTCCCAGGGGTCTGTGCTCATCCTTTGTGCTCCCTCCCTCTGCACAGCCCCATCAGCACAGCCTGGTGCTTTCAGGCTGAGGCTTCTGTTCTAGCAGCACTGTAAACATCCCACGGCACTGACAAGCCCAGTGCAGCTTCATTTCAGATGAGCTGCAGTGATTTGTGTCCTGCCCCTCGAGAGGCAGGAGAGCAGCAGGGATAGGAGCAGCTCTTTTGGTGAAAAACACCTTCATCAGAAGAGTTAGTTAAGGATGACAACAAAAACTTTATTTGAAAAAATTATTATGTATTGAAAATATACAGTAGCATTACCAACCTTCTTGTCTCTATCCCTCCCCCAGCACAGGTTACCCCACAGACATGTCACAGCAACCAGATTTAACAGTACTTTGTCACTCCCTCTCAATATGTCCAAATCCTGTCATCAGCAAGAGAACAACAAACAAAAGACCCACTTCTTTCTGACTCAGTAGGTATTTAACAAATCCCAGTCCTCCACAGTGAGGCACAGATGCTTCTGTTTGGAAGTCCTTTCTCTCTCTTGTTCAGCCAAAGCTCTTTTTTTATTGTTCTTTAATTCATGGCTGCCTGCAACCTCCTTTTTCAAAGGTAAATGGCAATTTTCAACGTTTTCTTTATAAAACTGCAAGTTTCCAGATGCTTTAGTTTCTGGCTCCACCAGTGTGCATTTGACTACTTCCTCTATTCTGTGTGTCTTGCCATCTACAAGCAAAAATATCAAGTTTAGATTTTGGGAAAAACAAATGCATAAATGCATAACTTTGTGGTACAAACTGTTTTGGCCAAGCCAACTTGGAAATGTGCACAGGAAAAAAATACCATTTCAATTTTGGACTCAGAATATTAAGGAAAAAACTCAGTTGTTATATGAGCTGTACTTGAATTATCCAGAAGTTTAACAAATGAAAAAACTCAAGTACATTGTAATGCAGTTACACAAAGGGCTGGAACTGCACACTTGAGATGCTATTTGTACTATAACCCAAAAAAGTATGAGAATAGTCCCTGTAGAAAAGAAAATAAATCAATTCTGTGGTGTCCATGCAGTTACGTACAGAAGTGAAGAGCTGTTACTCTGGATCTCAGGTTGTCCTGGGGCTTCATGGCCTCCAAAACTGCCTGCTCCCACTGCAGAACTGTCTGAAAGAACAAATGAAGCAGTTCAGATGTGTCTTGTAAAACTTACAGAACTATCATTGGAAACAACTCCATCCCTTGTTCTTTCCTATTCAGAAATTTTGTATTCTATAAGGCAAAATTTTAGAGAGTAAAACAGGTTTAACTCCCCTTACCTGCTCTGCCCATCCCTCTGTTTTGCAGTTACTGTGATCAAATTCTTTCAGAGGCACTTTTGAGTGAACCAGGCCTATCTGCATTTGAAGCCGCTTTATGACAGCATCAACATCCTGGGAAAAAGGGACATAAAGCTGTCAGAGGGCAAGAGCTTTTATTACACTTGTCCAGTAAACTTTTTCTGATGGTTTTTACCTTGAGACCTGTCCCAGAAATGTCCAAACAATTCAATTTCTTGAAAGAAAGAAGGTATCCAATTCCCACATCTGTGATTTTAGGGTTACCTGTAAGGTCAAGTAAAGTTAATTAAGTTGCATGATGTGGGAAAGGATTATCAAAATACCAAGGAAGTATTTGTTCCAAAACCTAATACTGGAACAAAGACTGACTTTCCCCCTCTAATTATCAAAACAGAAATATGTAGAATACCAATTCTCAAACTACTAAAAATCTTTATGTAAGTAGCAATTGCCTGAGACCTCAGGTGTGCCCTGTGCCTTCTGGGAGGTTGCTGGTGAAATCCAGGGTTGAGCACTTGGCTCATGGCAATCAACCAATTAATGGCATTCCTTCATTGCTAAGGAGGATAAATTCTTTATCAGAAGGAACACAGGTTCTCTGTGTTGTGAGACCATGGAGCACTTACAGGACAAGTCCAGCACCAGCAGATTGTCCAGCCCCTTTTTCAGCACACGGACGGGCGCTGTCATCCTGCGCAGGCCGGCGTCTGACAGGGAGTTGTCCTTCAGGAGAAGCCTCTTCACACTGCCAGCAGAGATACAAACATGGAGTTTATGGTCATTATTTCTGAGAGTTTTGCAAAATGTCCTAAAACTCCATGTCAGAAGGGTCATCCTGTGCCAAGCCCTCCAGGCTCACTGTAAAAAGCAGTGAGGAAGGAGCCTGGGTTAGCAGGAGTAACAAATATCTTTATATTTCCCTGCTAGCTCAACAGAAGCACTGCTTGAGCAGCTATTCCCACAGCTCCAGTGATAAACTGATCCTAGAGCCAAACATTTGCCAACAGAGACAATAAGCTTCTTTATACCCTGAAGTTCTTTATACCAAGGCTGCCAAACTGAAATGCACTCAAAACTAAGAAAAAATGCTTGGCAAACAGAGAGTGTAGATTCGATAAGTGATCATAAGCAATGATTTTAAGAAAATAATGAGGTCTTATAACACTGATTAACAGAACTCAGGAAAAAACATCAAATTGAAGTGCTCTCCTCAGAGCACTTCAAGATAAAACCTTGATGCAAAATGCACCAAAATCTTACAGCAACATAATATCTTTAATTAGCAGTCATCCTACCTAATGCTTCCAAAAATATCTACTTGTCATTTTCTGGTACCAAACAAAATTACAAAATTTACTGTTTTGAGATGTTAACTAACCAAATAATCAACATCCTACTTGCAGAAATCTTCATGTAGAATACTAGTTTAGTTAAAAACTTGGCTGATAAAGTTCCCCCTTAGAAGTAGGAAATGTAAAACTGTTCCAAATGTTAAAGATGCATTTCTTACCAAGACCATGAACATTATAAAAAGTTGATATAAAAAATGAGACAGTAAGTTGTCTTGTATAATTTTAGTACTTTTAGGATTCAGTATGTGCTCTGTGTACAATAAATTCTGTATTTTGTTTACCTACAGAACAGGTTTTATGAACAACCAAAATCTTCAACCTTACATTCGGCAGCCTGTGAAACTTCCCTTTAAAGTCTCAGCCTGATTCTTTGAACTGCTCAGTGGTAGGAAAGAAAGTGTCATTTTTAGCTCAAGGAATCGGTACCTAGACAGGGCCTCTTTGGTGAGGTGTTCCAGCAGCTCATGTTCATCTCCAAGTTTACAGTAGGAGAGATCCAAACACGTCAGCTCCCGGAAAGACTTAATTTCTTCAAGCTTTTCAGAGATAACCAGGTATCTGCAAAGCCAAAAAAAAAAAAAAAAAATAAAAGCCCTCAGTGCTCAGGCATGTAAGGAGGTGTCTACATCCCCAAGTGTCATAAGCACAATGCACTCATTTCTGCTAAGTACTATGTGAAAATTGACAGAAATTACCCAGCTGCACTAAGTACCTCTTTATGTGCAGCTGGCACACAACATGTCTGAATTCCCAGTCTTCTCCTTAGATCTCTGTCATGGTTTTGATTTGATGCAAAATATTGGACTAACAAGACTTCAATTTCCAAATATTGCTATTAGGAGCTTCTTTACAGATTATTGCTGTATTATTTCAGGATAATGCAAAATATCCCAGTTTATCATAAGCCAGCTTCACAAACTGCTCTTCCTCAGTGTCTAGGAAGGGTATAGACAAACCCACATTCATCCAGGTTTAAAATCCACCTCAAACGGGAATTTTAAACAGGACAGGACAGCTTGTCAGTGGCAAAATTTTATTTTTTATATGTGTCAATAAAATGCTTGACTAGGGGTAGAAGTCCAGGACTGGCCAGAGCTGTGGCTACACCCTAGGCAGCAGTTACTCAGTGTTTTTTTTTTTTTTTTAGCTGTGCTGGTTCCTTGCTCTGATTCACTCAGCAGCCACGCAAACATCTGTGCTGGAGCCATTCTGTAGGAGGCTCAGAGATGGGAACAAACCACTGAAGAATGGCAGGCATGAGTATGCAGTAATGAGCACGTAGCCCTCAACACCTCCCTGCAGTCACCTCTTGCTGTCCCTGTGGCTCCAAATTCACTGATCTCTCCTGAATTTACCTCCTATTCCCCATGGCAAGACACACCCTGAGATCAGCATCTTCACTGCATAAACTGGGGGTGATTTTTAATTTGATCCCTCCAGGAACACCTCTTTGTCCATGCATATAAGAGGACCTTAATATCCTCCCAGGGTAATTTTACCCATCAAACCACCCCCCTCACACCCCTTGCCTGTGCAATTTGGCTCTGCAAAAAGCACAACATACAGTCAGAGCATAAGCCAGCTCTTGAGAGAGATTATTAGCTATGGGGGGTTCTGGAGAGAAGAGTGGGCTCTTTTAGAAATAAAATTCATCAGAAAATGCCTTAATGCCTCACTTCCTGGATTTCAAAGACTTGATACTTAACTCAGCTTTCTGTAATAGCAAAAGATGCCAGAAGTAGCTTAATTTCTAAATTAAGCCCATAAAATCATCTGTGCTAGAGATAAAAAGGGAGTAGGTTTAAAGGATAAAACAAAGGATAATTGACTTCTACTCAAGCATTCCTACTGTGCTCAGAACACCCTTGGCACTTCAGATGAATATGCCAGTACTTTGATTTTAAACTGGATAAACCATCCCTTTTTCAAGTGTAGAGATGGAAGAGAAGGGTTCTATTACTGGGAAGGACTTCAGTTAGAAGCAAGGCTTTAAAAACATAATCCAGTTTTAAACTTGGCAAGACTCTTTCAGTTAAAGATGTGGGCATTGAGAAGATGGAAAAACTAGTGCTGTAATCAAGACCTTGTTAAAGTACAGTCAATATAGGGGTGGCAACAACAATAAAATAAGGTAAAACCTGTCTGATTTCAGAGCCTACAACTTACCCACAAGTCTGTATCTTCTTCTGAGCCCCCAAAATGAGACATGACAGCAAGCTTATAGTTAGTAAGCCCAAACAATTTGCAAGGGTGTATTTTATCTGTACAGTCAGCTAAGTGTGCTGAAAAGCTTTTAAACAGCAATTACAGAAACATCCCATGAAATGCCTGAGAAGGCACTAAGCACACAGATTTCCACAAAAGTGCTGATTATTATTGTTAAAAATAGTTGCAGGTTTAATCCTCCACATAAGATCCCCTGTTGGTTGAAATAGATGTAGTCTGCTGCCTCTGTTATGATTTTTATCTTAAAATGAAACCTACAGTTGCACTTGTAGGAAAGGGATGGGACAAAAGGCAGCAAGCACAAGACTCAGATAAGGCTCAGGGCATTTCATTAAAATGAAGTGGTGTTATAAGCCCAAAATGTATTTTTATTTAATTTAACTTAGGGGAACCTTGAAGTGTGCTAGCAGAAGACAAGATTTGTTAGGGGACACACTTACCTGTTCCGCAAGCACAGTGAGCACAGCACCAAACTGCCATAGGCTTCAGTGAACTTCTGCAGAGCTCTCAGTCCTGTCACTGGCTCTGTGAACTTTTGTCTTGCTTCTGCTGCTGAAAAGAGCTTTTCAGCAATCTGCTCTGGGAAACCAATCAACGAGTCAATGTGATCTACATTGTCAGAAATGTAACCCAGCACGAGGCTGAAGAGGGACTTGGCCGAGTAGCGGAGGTTCCCCTCCTTGGTGTACGTGAAGATGAAATGATCAGTCCTCTGCCTCCTTGCCCTATCATCCTCCCTGTTCATGCAAAGCTCCACTGAAAAAGTTCTGGAAAACAGACTAAAAGGTCTTGCTTTGGGAGTGACATTCTGTACGCCGCCTGCACCCTGATTTACCACATGCAGCTTCCCATTTTCACGCACGTATATTGGCCCAGTATCCAAATGGCTTTCTGAATGGAGACAGTACGACATTCCCCTTGACCAGCTCTGCAAAAACAAATCACAGACAGGTGAACAACAGCCACAGAGGAAAACATGACCCAGGGAAGCCCCCAAAGCTAGCAGCTCCCCTTGGAGCCCTGAGCATGGCCACGTAGCAAGGAGGGCAGGCTGTGTGGAGCAGAGCTGTCAGCTGCCTGCCACACACCCCATCCGAGTGGGAACTGGACCCCGGGCTGGCTGAGAGGCCCGGGATGGATCCCGGGCCGGGGATGGAGATAGGGGCAGCGGGAGAGAGGCTGGGGTTCAGTGGGAAGTGCCCCCACAACCAGGCCTGGCTCCGCTGCAGGCAGGAGCAGGAGGAGGAGGAGGAAGAGGAGGGTACATGTCTGACTGCAGCTGGGCAATGGAGCCTGCTGGAAGCTCCCTCCCTGCGAGGGTGGGCATCTTCTGGTGCCCCTTCCCCAGCCGGTGCCGGGGGGCTCTGGTTGGTGAGCGGGGTCCTGGCAGGAGAGCCGGGGGGCAGGAGAGCCCAGGGCTGCCATGGCGAGGGGCAGGGCAGGGACGGCATCCCCTCACCTCCCGGCCTGCGGGGCTGCCGATCGGGTCCTGCGGGGCGGGAGAGGACCGGGCCCTGCCCGAGGGGAGCCGGGGGTACCGGAAAGGATGGGGAGGCAGGTGCGAAGGGATCGGGTCCAACCCGGAGAGGGGTCGGGGCTACGATGGGAAGGGTCTGTGTAAGGATGGGGTTATGCCCGGGGCTGAGCGCGCCGTGAGCGGGCACAGCCCCGAGAGGCGCCAGGGGAAGGGGCACCAGGGGAGGGGCATAAGGGCAGGGGGCGCAGGGGGCGCAGGGGGCGCAGGGGGCAGGGTCCCCGCCCGGGCAGGGAGGCCAGAATCCCGCTCGTTCCCCGATGCCCCCTCATCCCACCTACCTGCCCCGGGAGGGGCCGCGCCGTCAGCCGGGCCGGGGCTCGGCGCTCCCGCCGCCCGTCCCGCAGCGCCCGCGGGCGGCGGGCGGGGCCTCGCGGGGGGCGGGCGGTGGGCGGGGCGGAGCGGGGCACGGCGGGAGCGGCGGGTCCCGCCCGGCCTCCCCCGCCCTGCCAGGGGCGATCCCGGCTCCCTGCACCGGGAGCGGCCGTAGGCGGGGAGCTGTCGCCGTTGCCCGGGAGCGGCGGCCCCGCGGAGCGCGATGAGAGCCGCAGACTGGTGCCGGAGCTCGGCGGGGGCCGCCCTGGTCCTGGCCACGTCCAGCGATGCCGAGCACCCCGCCGAGAGCGTGGCGGACGGGTGAGGGCCGGGCGGGGGCGCGGGCGGCGGGAGCGGCTCCTCCCGCACGGAGCCCGCCGGGGCCGGCCCGGGCTCGGCCCTTCGCCCTCACGCTGGGGTCGCCACAGGGGGGATGGAACTGCTCGGGGCCCGCCGCCATTGCGCGCTCCTATGGGGCCGCCCGGGTACAGAGCCTGCCCGGCGAGGTGGGAGTGCCTCCAGAGAGCTGCCCCTCCTTATACAGGGCACTGCTGAAAGTACTCCAAATAAAAATGCTTCCCCCGTCCCTTTCCCACTCTTTCCCCTCCTCCTTTTCATCCCTGTCCTTTCCTTCTTCACCGTCCCCCTGTTTTTCCACCCTTTTCAACCCCTCTTCTTTTCCCCTCCTCTTTCCCCTTTCCATATTTTTCTGTGATAAATTTAATAGAAGATGGTTGTAGACGGAAAGCTGCGGTTGAGGGCTTTGTCCTCTTCTCTCTACAGAAGTTCCAAAACATTTTGGACGACGACAGGCATGTTCCCACAGGAATTGATTATTGGTTTTCCCAAATGTGTAAAAATCAGCAAAGTCGCCATCCAGTGTTATTTGGGTAAGACTTTGTGTCTTGCAGTAGGTAATACGTGCTATGTTAAAATATGTCTGTGCCTTAATAAAAGTTCCCCCAGTAGTGTCCTAGTCTGTATGTAGCCACTTTTAAGAGATTCATAAACATTTAACATCACATAAAGGTTTAATTTTGCATAAAGATTCATTTTCACAAAAGCAATCATCCTTCATATCCACAATCCCCATAGCTTAGAGAAATGAGTTAATGCTCTGAAAGTGTTTTGAGGTTGTAAGGTGATGGAATAAATATCAGTATCAATAAAGAATCAGAACTTGTGTTGATATTTTGAATTGATATATATTTTAGTGCGGACCTTAAGGATTGAAAGAAGCACATCTAAAGACCCTGTGGGTTTTGAACAGTGTGTTGAAAAAGGTAAGACTGAGTTTTTGGGTTTTGTGGGAGCAATGTTGGTGTTTTTCAGTGAATCCCTCTAACCCCTCATCTATTTATTGAGTAAAGTGTGGGGTGATGATTGTTTTATTAGACATTAATGTAACAGTCACGTTTGAGTGAATTTTGTTAACACTGCTGGTCTCTGCAGCAGTTTGGAGAGTAAAATGCTGTATAAGGGCTAAAAGCACTACTTGTGCACTTCATGTTCCAAAAATTAAAAACAGGCTTACATAGTATAATAGAGTGCCATTTCCTGCATTGTTTGGCTTGGGGATTGGCTTTTTTTAGTGCCTCTTGGGTAACTTTTTTTAACACTGTAATGGGTGGGATATATATACACACACACTGGGATATTGCAAAAAAGTATTCTCTTAAATCACCTGTAAAAATAAAAAAGAACTATGTCTATATGCAGTGTAAACTCATTGTCCTTAAACTCACTTGAACTCTGACTCCAGTGAAAACTTCACTGCATTGCACATTATTCATCATTATTTACCTTAAAATATGTTTTCTAGATTTGCAGCACAGAGAAGGGCAGCTCCAAATGGAAGAATTTCCAGTGAGTATTTACAGTGTACATCAGTAGTGGTTCATGAAATAGGATGTCTGGACTAAGCAGGGAGAAACCATAAAAAAACCAAACATGTCTTTATTTACAATTATTGCTCAGTTGGTGTTAAAGAGAGGAATTTGTAGATTGTGGTGTGAAATTGCACTTCCCAGCTGCTCCTCTGTAGATTATGCTGTGAAATTGCACCTGCCTAGTGCTCCTAATGAGGTGCCAGGGCCCTTTCCAGAAGTGTGGCAATCTTCCCTCCTTCACTTGCTGCCTTTAGGGCTGCAGAATTCAGGAGGTGATGGGATTTTTTTTGAGTTGCAGGTCAAAGAACTCGATTTATGTGCACTTCAAAAAACAGACACTGAAAGATCCAGATCCTTGTGGTTTAACAAACTTCTGCAAATGTGGTTGGGTAGTTTTGTTACCACAGAGAATGCAATAACATTATTTTTATTCCTCCTGCAGCTTCCTGAGTTCCAAGCCACTTACTTGCGTTTCATCATCAAATCTGCCTTTGATCATTTTGTGTCAGTGCACCGGGTCATGGCAGAGGGCACAGCAGAGAACACTTGAGCCCAGCTTAAATTTGGGCCTCCACTTTATTTTTTTATAAGGAAGTTACATTTTGATAGCTGCACTGGAGAGAATGTTTATTATTAGAACCTTGTATTAAAGTGGTTTTTGAAGGTATGGATGTGGTATGTATTCCCTGGTTTAATGTATGGAATAGAACAGGAGAATATGGAATTATTTAGGTTGGAAAAGATTTTTAAGATTATCAAGTCCAGCCACATCACAGTGCAGTTGTTAAATGTAGTAACAGCTTTTTCATTTTGTAACCTAAACTATCAGCCTAGAACACATGAACATAACTGAGTCCATTTAAGGTAGGATATTTTTATCAGACTTACATAATACATTAATTAAAACCCAATTTCCTATAAAATGTTTCCCTTGCACTCTGAATTAAATAGAAAAAAAAGTGTGAGCTACTTAAGTGGGATGTATTACTTCCTACTGTCAAACAAGTCCTTCAAAAGTCCTTAAATTGGTAAGTTTCTGATCAGCTCAAACTCAGAGATTATTAGAATGAATATAAATATCTGCTAATGCTTAGAAATAACCTGGGGGAGAGAGGCAGGGCAGGAAGGGAAATAATCTGAAGCCAAATGAAGTGTTCTGATAGACTTTTAATAATTGTAGATCAATCCCCTGTTTCTATAAATATTTTCTAGAATCAGGTCACAGCCGCCAGTGCTTTAGGCTGGGACCATCATAACAAATACTCATGGAAACAGATGTTGGTAGAGATTGTCTTGCTCAGGAGCCTCCTGAAGTCAGTGAAAGGGAACATTCTATATACACAAGTGCAATGTGTATATAGTTATGTGAAATCAGTTGCTTTGCATGCTGGTGGACTCTTGCAAATGTCACCACCCTGAAATTCATCCTGCAGGATATTCCTTACAAGTGTAAATGTTGGTATCCAGAGCTCAATGGACCCAGCTCCCACATTACTGCATGTGGGGTAAGAGTAGTAAGTTACTGCAGAACAGAAGTTGGTGTGGTAGGGGTGACACCTGAAAGCTTCTAGACAAACATAATGAGCCTCATTCCAGATGCTCCTTGCATATACAGCAGTGCATATACTTTGCATATACAGCATTGTTCTTTTCTTCTTCTCTCTATGGCTGTTTTTAAATTCTGGTTTTGTTCCGTAGACCTAGGTCTGTGACAAATTATTCTTTAACTTCTTTATCCAAATAATTTTTGCTTCGAAGTCCTTTTTCTATTTCAGTTTTTCCAGGATGGCACGTATTTCCTGGGGGTGGTAATTCCAAGGCCCCACTCCTCCCTGCAAAGGCAATAAAATGACACAGTGATGCTCAAGCAGAGCAAAAATCCTTCAGAGCACAGCAGCTGCACCAGAACTGTGGGCAGGTGTGCCTTGGGCTCCCATTCCACTGGAGCCATCCCCAGGAGATGGTTACACCTTGCTGTGTCACTGGGACAGAGCCAGTGTCTGGATCCTGGAGGTGGGAATTGTTCCTGGATTTCACAGCTTAGATGTACCTCAGGTTACTAGTGAGCCAAAAGATAAATATTTGAGCAAGACTGAGGTGTACATATGTACATTATAAAGGCCCAGACTGGTTTTGCTGCATTTTCATTTCTCTCCACATTTACAGTGCACTGTGAAATGTTTAGCTCTCAAACAGAACGAAATACTGACTGTTGAATGTAAAGCAGTCTCAAGTCACCTTGAAATTTAAAAATCTCTGTACACTGTGCTCATTGGTGCTGATGTTTTTTACCTTGTAGATGACCTTCCCTCCCTGAAGCATGTAGAGTCGCTCTGGCAGTGCAGCGTATTTTGAACTGCTCAGGTTCTCCATAGTGTCTAAAACCACTGGACATAGAGGGTGATTTTTCTGAAGAAATTGTGCTGCAATTTTTCGATCTTCAAGGCTTCTGTGATTTTTAATAATGACATTGTTTTTAAAAGCCCATCCATCTAAAACAAATGAGGAAGAGATTTAGCAGTGAAGGATTTGAATAGGTGCAAGGGTGGACATGTACCGGGCGTCATACCCCAAAACTGGGTTAAAAGAATCTTACCGTTTATTCCTAACACCAAAACTCGCCATGAAATGTAACCCCCCCTCAAATTATGGCACCACTAGAGCTTTCCAATAAGTGGTCCCAAGACCTGTTTTTTTTCCCCTCCTCAAACTGTATTTTCTTGCCCTGGATTCAGAAATATTTGATGGATTTTAGCTGAAATTTTCCCACATAGTTCTACCTTAGAAAGACACCAGGTGGGGAACATGTATTGGGTAAGGTTTGTCAGTGTTGTTCATTTTGTTTGATTGTACTCATGAAGCCTATAAACCGAAATTACAGGTCCGTGAGAAGTGAAGTATGAGGCAGGCCACACCTTTGTTTATCAGAAGTATGCAAACAAACACTTGCACACAACTCTTCCCAGTAAAGTAGAAACTAAAAAAGGGTTTGATGACTGACTTAGTCATTATCTGATTCTCAGTTGTTGAAAATGACATATTGCTAGAAAACTATAAATGTTAGGTTTTAGAAAAACATTTAATCCTGGGGTAAAAGCAGTGCCAATGTGTTACTTAGAATCCAGTGCAGATAAACAAGTGTGGTTTGCTTGCTTGCTAAATTTTTCAATTTGAAGTCTGCATCCTGTTCTTGGAAAATATTAAAAACTAATTTTTTTTTTCCTGTCAACACATAACATATTGTACACTTAACTTTTGTTTTATGAAATGTCTTCCTCTTTCCAAAAGGAGCTGTATAACATTTAGAGGCAATTGTTAAAAAACACAACTGTGTCCTTCACATGAGTAACTCAGTGTAAAGTCAAAAGTGTACGTAGAATCTTAGGAGAATTAGGGACACAAACTGGTGCCTTGATGTGGTGTTGCCACTTGATTTGAAGATTTCTGTGCTGTTTGTAGCCCCCTCCTTTGCTAGCACACTTTTTTTCCCTAAAGGAAGTGACATATTTGTAGCTGTGGTTGGCATCACTGTGGTCTTTGTACTGTACCTACTGCATGAGCTTCCTCAATGTAGATGATAAGGAAATCTGCTATGGAGCTGAAATCTTTGATGAGCTGGTTGAACTCATCAAATTTTAACATAAATGAAGGTCAGGTGCAGCTTCCAAAGTTCAGGATTAAAGGTTGGTTATCTGGGGGAAAAAAAAAGAAGTTTTGTGGTTAAGCAAAGGGAGGAAGGACAGAATTAAATACACTGAACTGAGCCTCTGGTGCAGGGATTCCTGGACAACACTAAGTCACTTCATAAACTTCTAGTAAAATCAGCAGCAGAACCTCTTTATCTCTGCAAAGCAGCCATAAAGGTGTTTTTCCTAGCCTGGCTCTGTGTGCTGCATCCAGCAAGGCGTTTACCTGAGGGAACCCTGCCCAGTACAGGCAGGAGGCACCCTGCAGTCACACAGCTTCTCTTTGCCTCATCACAAGAGCCAATTAGCGAGCTACCAACATTTTTGGGATAGGGTGCTGATCCAAAATGGGCATCTCAGGCTCCCCGAGATCCTTAGTATGGAGCGACTTCGAAAATACTAAACATGACCTTAGTATGGAGCGACTTCGAAAATACTAAACATGACCTTAGTATGGAGCGACTTCGAAAATACTAAACATGACCTTAGTATGGAGCGACTTCGAAAATACTAAACATGACCTTAGTATGGAGCGACTTCGAAAATACTAAACATGGCCTTCTGCAAGGTTATCCAGGGACAGTGGTTCAGGGATGGGCATTGAGGACAGAGTCCCAGTGCCTTTTCATGTCCAGATTTTTTTAGATGTGTCAGTTCAAGCTGAGCTGAGGGGAAACTGCAGACTTTTCAGTCATGCATCACAGGCTTTCATGCTTTCAATATATTTCTGCAATTTCCTGTCCAAACAGAACTCTGGTTATATATTATTATTAAACTAACCTTACACTGGCAAAAGTATCTGCAGTTGCTTACAAATTAACACAGTATTGTGTTTATTTTGGCATCTGTTTGCAAGGCCTTGATTTAAGAGAGCCTGCAGGATTTTTAAGCACCTCTTTTAGTCTGGTTTTGCTGAATTCCATTAAATTTGTCCAAGACCTTTCTGGCATGGCTTAACTTAAAAGCTGCTGCTAACCATAGATCCACATCCTAAAGAATTAAATAACAGTGGTACCTTCCTGTAGATACTGTGTATCTCTTCTCCAAATTTGCAGCCCATTTTCTACATAAATATCTATATATAATTAGGGATGCAGAGTGAGAGAAGGATGTAATCCCTCCCGTGGGGATGGAGGCTGCAGCTTAATGATTAATTCCACGTTCTGCTGAGATCTCTGTGGGAGGCAGCAGACAAAGTACAAAGCAGCTACTTCTGCTTTATTCCCAGCCACTTTAGATCTGGAAAAACCCACTGTGTGCTTTCTAGGCTTTAGGCTAGCTAAGGGAGCTGGTGTGACATTTTCTGTATGGACAGGGAACGACAGCCAACACTCAGAAATCATTGCACATGTTTCAGTTCTGGGCCTTCTCTCCCTAAAACAAATTATTACCTTGGCTTTCAGCAAAAAGTGTTTCCAGGCAGAGCCAGCTCTTGCAAAAGCTCAGTGGTGTGAAGGGATAGCATAGACAGGGTGATAAATGCAGGTTATTTTTGACAATCAAGAAGCAGCTGGAGTAAATGTGCTGCATCTTTTCCAGCAGGTGAGTGCTGGTGGTCTGCACATGATGCACTCCGGTGCTAGCTGCCCGTCCCTGCTCCCTCAGCAGCATCTCCTCATTTATGTTCTCAGCAATTACTGAAATTACTGACTCAATTACTGACCTTTCATGAAATCTAGGAGGTGACAAACTTCCCCGCTGAGGGTCACCACGGGCGTGTTGGGAGCAGGGTGTCCCTCGTAGGCTTCATCCTCCAGCCTCTTCCACTTTACCTTCAGCACAAACTGCAAATACTTGAAGCTGAAAAAAGTCGGGCCCCAGTTTTCATAGCTGAACTTTGGATTCCTGTTCATTCTGCTCTTTTCGCCCATCTTTAGGATGTATCTTTTCATGGCGTTGGGGAACAGTATCATCAGTGTTTTGCCCACCACAACAGACAGAGTAACCTGCAGAAGGATCAGGATTTTCTGTAGCAGTACCCTGATGCCCGACATGGTGGTGGAGAGGTCTGGTGAGCACAATGCGAGGCAGGGGCAAAGGTAGACGGTGAGGGGGAGGGAAAACATCCACGTGTTTGATTGAGTTTCTGCCTTACTTTGCACACTGTCCTGTCTCTGCACTTCAGCCCCTGGGTGAGCAAGGATCCTGTCAGCTGTGCTCCCTCCAGCACCAAAGGCATCCAGTGCAGCCAGGGTGGGGCTGTGATGGTCACTGCAGAGCTGTGAGGCTTGTCCACAAATGTGGGCTGTGCTGTACAAATGAGGGCAGCTGGATCAAGGTGTTCTCCCTGAATCCCACAGTATAGACTAAGGTGCTGATGCTTGAGGCCCTGGGGTGATGCAGATGCTGTGCAAACAGTGCCCTGTTTCTCCTGCTCTGACTGCTCTGGGGCTCTGCTGCACTCCAGTGTTTGGCATTTTGGGGCTGAAGGATTTAAAAAATCCTTTAAAAAGTATATATATATGTGTGTGTGTGTGTGTGTATATATATACGTATATATGTGTATATATACATATACATATACATATATATATATGCTCCAGTACGTATAATATCCAGCTGGTCCCCAGCACAGGAAGGACATGGATCTGTTGGAGCGAGGCCTCAAGAGGATACCGAGATCAGAAGGTTGCTGTAAGAGTTGGGATTTTCATCCTGGAGAAGAGAAGGCTTTGTGGTGACCTAACTGTGCCCTTCCAGCACCTGAGGGGAGACAAGACAGATGGAGAGAGGCCATTGACAAGGGCGGCAGTGACGGGACAAGGGGGAATGGCTGCAAACCATCAGAGGGCAGGTTTAGAGTGGGTAAGAGAAAGAAATTCTCTCCTGTGCGGGAAGTGAGGCCCTGGCACAAGGTGCCCAGAGAAGCTGTGGCTGCCCCTGGATTCCTGGGAGTGTCCCAGGCCAGGCTGGACAGGGCTGGGACCAACGCGTTCTGGTGGGAGGTGTCCCTGCCATGGCAAGGGGATTAAATGAGATGAGCTTTAATGTTCCTTCCAACTCTAACCGTTCTGTGTTTCTCTGGTGAAACCCTCAGTTACCAGAACACGCAGTGTACGACTATAGCAGTTGTACAAGCGCACGATCACCTACACCCCGTTATGTTCCCTCACAGACGGCAGCTGCCGCCGCGCTCGGGCTGCCGCGGGCCCTTTAAGGGGGCGGGCTGGCGCGCAGGCGGAAGCGTCGCGCGAGCTCTGATTGGTCGGTGCTAGTCGCGTCACCGGCAGGGCTGTTGCTCCCCGAGGGGCGGGGGCAGAGGGGCTCAGCGGCGCCGCTGATTGGTCGAGGCCGCGCGGCGGTGGCGGCGCCTTTAAGGGAGCGAAGCGGCAGCTGTGGGGTCGCGGCGGTGCCGAGGTGCGGGGTTCCCGGTGCGGGGTTCCCGGCCCGGGGCCCGGGCGGGTGCGGGGCTCGGGGCGAGCGGCCGCGGGGCACAGCAGCGGGGCACAGGGCGGGGACCGCACTCGCCCCAGCCCCAGCGCCACCCTGTCCTCTTGCAGGAGGGTCGAGCCCCGGGGAGCTGATCCTCATCCAGGCGGATGAATGGCGACGGCGGACGACCTCAAATTCCAAGGTAAAGGCGATGTCGCAGGTGCGGACTCGGGGCTGGGCCCCGGCTGGGGGAGCCGTCAGGCGCTGGAGGCTCTGGGAGCGTCCCTGAGCGTTCGCGGAATAAAAACGTCCTGGGAGTTTTGTTTGTGGGATCAGGTATCCTGAATTTTCTGAGATGGAATTGTGCTGCTGACCAGATAAAAAATGTAACCGGTGCTGACGGAAATCGTGGACTGAAATCCTTTGTAGTAGCAAGTGATAGCTGGAGAGGGGCAGAGCGCTCTGTCACTTGCAAAAGGCCCCGGTTTCAGACTTCCTTAGTTCTTCATTAAAAATTTCACGTCAATTTTTGGAGAATGTTAAAAGTACCCGTTTCTCTAGGAGGCAGCTTTCCCTTCCCCTTGCAGAGGCCTGCTGGCCCTGGGCTGGGGGCTCTTGGCAGGGCAGGAAGGCAAGCTCCAGCGGTGCCAGTGTCACATCCTGCAGGCAGATTGGCAGGAAAAGCACATTCACACTTTATCAACTGACTAAATGTTCAGATTGATCCATGTCAGTTTGGACTTCAGGAAAGAGATCATACCCAACATGCCTAAGCTAGTGATTATTCTGTCTCAGCGTCTTTATGCGTTTGTTTGAGCCATGAGAACAAAAATTTTAGTGTCTTGATCATCGCCTGTCTTGTAATGTACTTATTTGCAGAATTTGACGATGCAGCTAATTTGCTTGCAGCCAATCCTGATGCCACCACCATAAGCATCGATGAGCCTGTCGAAATCCCCAAGAATCAGCACGGCCACCTGCAGGAGCCAGGGAGGGAAGAGGATGATGAGTTACTGGGCACTGATGACTCCGATAAAACAGAGGTAATGCTCTCACCCCTCTGGTAGAGGCCTGTGAGAAAGATGGAGAGAGACTTCTTACAAGAGCATGTAGAGAACAGGACAAGGGGGAATGGATTCAGACTAAAAGAGAAGAGGTTTAGATTGGTTATAGGAAGAAATTCTCTCCTGTGAGGGTGGTGAGGTGTTGGCACAGGTTGCCCAGAGAAGCTGTGCATGTCCCATCCCTGGAAGTGTTTAAGGCCAGGCTTTGAGCTACCTGGGATAGTGGAAGGTGTCCCTGCCCATGGCAGGGGGATGGAGTGAGATGATCTTTAAGGTCCCTTCAATCACAGGCCATTCTGTGGTTCTGACAGCAAAAGGAGCTTGTCGTGGTGGTGAGGGTGTGTGTTCCAGATGATGTGGCATGGCAGCAGGCAGTAACAGGCTGCTCTTTACAACCTCAGGCCGTGGCTCTGCCTCCAGGGAGATAAGAGACTGGCTGTCTACAGCTGTTGGAGGGGAAGAGGGAAACTATTACATAATCCTGCCCTGTTATGTTTGTTTTCAGTTTGGGTACCAAAATCACGTGACTGCTGTGTAAATGAACTAGTAATGCATAAATTGTGTGCTTGTAACACTTTCCATGTTGTCTTTCCCACCATCCAGCTGCTTGCAGGACAGAAGAAAAGTGCCCCTTTCTGGACTTTTGAGTACTACCAGACCTTCTTCGATGTGGACACGTACCAGGTTAATACTCTGCTCCAGAGGAGAACTGTTGTTTGAATTATACCTTATCCACTGAGGTGTTTTTCCTTCTTGCATTGTCAGTCATATAGATCTTTATGTTTCATAGGTCCTGGACAGAATCAAAGGGTCAGTGTTCCCAGTCCCTGGGAAGAACTTTGTAAGGCTGTATATCCGCAGCAATCCCGACCTTTATGGTATGTGTGAGGTGGGAGAAGTTACTTGCTGTACTAAATATTTTCAGTCTGTATTACATTTTACTTGCTGGCCTAGAAAGCAAGACAGCAGAGGAGGTGCTATTGATTTTTTTTTTCCTTTTAAGGTCCATTTTGGATATGTGCTACACTCGTGTTCACCATTGCTGTTAGTGGCAACCTCTCAAATTTCTTCATCCATCTGGGCAAACCAACGTACCGCTATGTGCCTGAGTTCAGAAAAGGTTTGTAAGTAGTCATTTGTGGGGTTTATTTTTTTTGTTTGGGCTTTTGTTTTTTAATATTCAAATGAAGTAATATGAAACCAGGTCGTGGCTTTGATTTAGCACAAATCTTTTGATTGATTGCTGTCTTTAAATTTTTAGACCTGTGAAACAAGCCCTTAAAATGGGTTGTGACTGGCAGAACCCTGTTTCTTCAGAGCATAAGCTAGTTTCAGGGATTTAGAAGAGCAAGCAGGAGTAATTAGTTATTTTCCAGCCTTAGTGGATGTCTCCTTGTACAGAGAGTGAAAGCCCAGCACTGGGCACTGTGGTGCTTTGGTGGGGGCCTTGCTGGATCTGTGGCCTCCCAGGAACCTGCAGGCCTTGGGCAGAAAATTACCAGATCAGATTATCACTCAGATCACCTACTTGAAGTGCTGGCAGAGTACTGGGTGTAAACTAGATATAAATGCAAAGTTCTCAGTTTATTAATAATTAAAAGTTCATCTTTTGGAAGTATCTTCACAGGTAGCTTTCTAGTTTTCATGCTGAATGCTTCTACACCTTTGATTCTGGCAGGATTCAAAGTAGAACATTAAACCCTTTGTTGTGTTTCCAGTGTCCATAGCAGCTACAACGATTTATGCATACGCTTGGCTTGTTCCCCTTGCTCTCTGGGGATTCCTGATGTGGAGGAACAGTAAAGTCATGAACATTGTCTCCTACTCCTTCCTGGAGATAGTGTGTGTGTATGGCTACTCCCTCTTCATTTACATTCCCACAGCGGTACGTATGCCTAAGGAGTGCCCCTCTCACATGTCCTGCCTGAGAAGGTTTGCTCTTTCTTATAATATTGTTGATATTTGTCGAAATTTTGGAGACTGGGAGAATCTTTTGCTCTTTTTCTTGAAGCTTGTCTAGTGTAAAGGTGTCTTGTGGGTGCTGGAAAAGCCCAGGATACATCATTTCCCCAGAGGCAGCAAAACCAAGCAAGGTGCTGCTGGTGAGCCTGGCAGGCAGCCTCAGGAATCAGGATGTTTGTGTCCCCAGGGAACAGATGCTGATGGCTCCAAGGACAAGTTTCCCTGGCTGGGGACAGGCCTTGGAGGGAGTAGCATAACTTGGGGTTCACCCTTGTGTCTGGGATTAAAGCTCAGCACTGCTCTTACTCTTTCCTCCAGTAAGAGATGTGTCAGATTTAGGCGCGAGTTTATTTGTGCACAAACAGAAGCGACAACGGTGTCACAGAACACACAGCCTCTTTGCCAGCCTTTTGCAAGCCTTGTGCTGCCTTTTGCAGATCTTGTGGATCATCCCCCAGAAGGTGGTGCGCTGGGTGCTGGTGGTGTTCTCGCTGTGCCTCTCAGGCTCCGTGCTGGTGATGACCTTCTGGCCCGCCGTCCGCGACGACAACCGCCGCATCGCCGTGGCCACCGTGGCCGCCATCCTGCTGCTGCAC